GCCTTTATCACCTTTGAACTGGTTTTCCATGTTAGGAGTTTTCTCTTCTTCATGGGCGACCAAAGATTGACTTCGCCAGACTAGACTCGTTCTTTTACAAAACAGTCAAACAGTCTCCTACCGATCTCACTTTGTTCACACAAATTTTTCTTTACCGTTTCTGGCATAACCACCTTGTTCACTAGGCTGAACAGGTCGGTATGTACATCAGAGAATGGATTCCTGAAGCTTTCAATAGTGGCTTTTAACTGTACTACACCTTTCTCTTCGCGGGCTAAGACAGCTGTAGTGAGGTTATGATGACAACCTTGAGGCTTGGAAGACGCCCCCGCCATGTTCTTTGCTTGTTCAGCTAGGCTTGTGAGCTCTGGAGATATCAGGAAGACTTTCGTCTGAGCAGCTTCATTTAAGGTGATATGATCCCAACCAATCCTCCAGAGACTTTCATAGAGCGGTTCTTCTATTCGAGTGCATTGTCGGCTCCTACTGCTCAGAATGGTACTTCAGCATTCTTGTTCACTCCCCAGTTTCCTTGGATGAACTCTTCATATACTTCTGGATCTGATGCTTTTAAGGATGACATCTCAGCAATTTACACAGGAATCATATGTGCATAGTTTTTTTTCACCATGGACTTTTCATATGAAAGTCCCAACCTTATAAACATGTTTGAACGCACAGGTGTTATCTACCAAGAATACTTCATACCTCATCCTTTTGCAATGTTCCATGCTCTCCAGTGCAGCTTTTGTGTCAGCCTCGTTTTCATGCAAGCATGGTCACGTGATAACCCTTACAATATAGGCATGTTTGATTACACGGATGACATACACCCAACAATACCTTCGTCAATCTCTTTCTTCGTCAGGAGACGTTTAAAGGCTTTCCAGTGCAGCTTCTGTGTGAACCTCGTTTTGGTGCTAGCTTGGTCACGTGACCCCAATAACCTCTTAAAATCGCCTCTTCATATTTGGAACATTGATTTACATAATTGTGGTGATTTGGGTTCAATCTTGCGCAAATAATGGATAGCTATAGGCAATTTTATGTTTGGGCCTCGTTTTCATGTTGGGTTACACACATCACATTTTTGACCCCCCCCCCCCC